AGCGTGGGGATGCCGCAGTGCACCGGTACCTGCAGGTCTGCACGTGCTGTGGGAATCCTTGGGAAGGGGCAGCCTCTGGTGCATGTACACACACACCGCACGCCTTGCACTTGCACACCCAGTGCTGTATATGTAAGCCCTTGCCCCCTCATGAGCACACAAGCATTAAGCCTTGCATGTACAGGCACACACACAATGCTTCAGGTCCTGCCCGCTCACCTACAAGTAGGCAAGGACATCATCTTGCCTGGCAGGACCCACTAACACAGCCACCCTGGACCCCCTCAGGTTTTGAGTGAGGGCCTTCAGTTTATGACACCCGCTATAGCACGCACACATACTGACCATGTGCCAGGGACTGCCTTTTCCTTTCTACATGTGACATCTCCTGTAGTCTTCACAATGCTACTCTGGAATAAGTGCCCAGGAGGAAACAGGTGGAGTGGCTGGCCTGAAATCACACAAGAGTAATGATTTGAGCCCAGGACTGTTTGGCTCTAAGCCGTGGGCTCTTTCTCTCATCACCAAAATCCCTGAGGCCAGACCGATGAGCACTCCCTTGAACCTGCACACACAGAAGGGCGTGTCTGGTCAAAGACTGGACCAGAGATGAGGTATCTCAACCTGGGTTTCTCACTCTGGGTCAACAGATTTCCTGTCCAGACAGAGTCCCTGCATTGCGGATGGAAGAGTGAGGGAAGACCAGAATATCACAGACTTTTCTCCCACTGATTTCTTCCTGAAAAGGGACTTGGAATAGCACGAACAAGACCCATTAGGAATCTCCTGCTGGGGAAGCTGCCTGGAGTTGCTCTCCTTCCTCCTGGCCAAGGCAGAGCTCTAGTCACCAGGGCCTGGCTCCCGGTGCCCCTGGCTTCACCTGCAGACTTCAGGAAAATGGTGAGATCCAAGGCCAGTGAGTTGCCTGAGCAGGGAGGTGGGTGGGCCAAGGGCAGCTTCCAGCAAAAGTATGAGCTGACTGCAAATGGGCTGTCCCTGGAGCCATCCCAGGTTGGCAGACACTGGATGGTCCCTGGTTAGGAAATTCAAGAAAGTAAGTTCCAGCATCACTGTCCTCAATGTCGTCTTTGTCTTTGTAACTACCACAGATTGGATGCCCTCTGTGACGCACATCTTAAAGATATATTACAGACAGGTACCGATGGGTGGCTCACGCCTGTAATTCTAGCTACTCAGGAAGCAAAGATCCAGGAAGATTTCTGTTCAAAGCTAGCCCTGGGCAAAGAGTTCTCAAGACCCCATCTCAAAAAAACCAATCACAAACAAAACAAAAGGCTGGTGGAGTGGCTCAAAGGTGTAGGCCCTGAGTTCAAACCCCAGTTCCACAAAAAAAGATATGTTACAACTGGGGCTGGAGTTGTAGCTCGACCCCCAGACCCCCAGTAAGGTATGCTACAGCTGTCACTACTTCTAACACCAATTGATCTTCACCGAATCCACGTAGAACCCAGCGAGGCAGGCACTGTTGGGCCCACTTATAGATGAGGAAACTGAGGCTGGCCGACTTGTGCACAGCTCTAGGGCAGCAGGATCCAAGCTCTGCCTGGCTGCTGAGTCTGTGATTTGCCCCTTGGGAGATGTTGTTCTATGTGGTGTTCCAGGGGGCTCAGGCTTTTCCAGCTGGGACGCTCCCTTCCTGGGGTTCACGATGGCTGGACTGGGTGCCCTCTGCTGGCCATGTCCTGGCTCTACAGCCATGCTTCCTTAGAGAACAGGCCATGTTGGGGCGGGGGAGGGAGCGGCTGAGCTGAGGAGTGAGCCTGAGGCTTTTGTCCTTCACCCACTCTCTGTTAGGGAAGATGTCTCACAATAGGCCTCTACTTCCTGCACCTTCCCCCTGGCGTGGGGGAAACCTCACAATAGCGATGCTGGCCCCATCTTGAAAGTCCTTCGTGACTGTTGTGTGTAGCTGAGATTCTGTCTCCAAAGGTAAAACTAGGGTCCTGCTTTGAGCCATGAGGCAGCCATAGCTGGCTCTGTGACCTTGGGGGGATTCCCAGCCTCCCTGAGCGCTGTCAGATGGAGCCTATCTTTGCAGACTAAAGGTCCAAAGAGATCTGAAGTCTACTCTATTCAATTAGAAGTTCTGCCCTCACCTCTCCTCCTCCGCCCTTCCTTTCTCTCTTCCTCTTTTCTCCCCCGCTGCCATCTCCCCCATTCCGTGGTATGGATTAGCATCTCCTTTCCGAAGGCTCAGAGAGGTGGAATTACTGCCTAGCATCACTCACCAGGTGTTTGTGGTTTCAGAATCTAAGCCAGAAAACTGACCCCTGTCACTCCCCCCTTCCCTGCCCCTCTCTCCTCACTCCTCCTGTGGGTCTCATCTATTGGCCGCTCCTACTAAAAAAGTGCCCCAGGTCCTCCATCCTCTCTCTCCCTGTCCCCTGCCTGTCTCCTGCCCCACCCAGGTCAAGAGCCTCATTTCTGGCCCCGTGTCTGCAGCAGCCTCCCTGTCTCCTCACAGGTAACCTGTGTTTTCTGCAGTTTGGTCTCTACACTGGAGCAAGCAAAGTAAATCTTTTAAAATGTGAATCTATCAATCATGACTGCTTCTTGGAGCCAGTGGAATTTCATTGCCAGTGCAATTAGTCTAAATCCCCTGTGCTATCCAACCTCAGCTGCCCTCACTTCCACCATCTTGCTCATAAAACTCCAGTCTCTCTGGCTTCTTTCAGTGTCTGTAACATGCCAAGCTTGCCTTGTGCCCCAGGGCCTTTGTACTTGCTGTCCCTGTGGCTGGAGCATCCTTCCTGTTGTGTGTCATTCCTGCCTCCTTTTCCTTCTGCAGGTCTCAGTTCAGATGACACGCTCCAACTCACACCACCAAACACTGTCACAGCCTTTCAAATCTAGTCTCGTTTTTCCTGCTCCCAGTGTCCCAGCCCAGAGCCTATAACTCCTCCCTGTCTCCCCTGTTGTGTCCCTTGCTCCCCTCCACATAAACACTGCTCTCCCAGGTGCAGGGCCAATGATTCCTTTTCCCTCTGCCCTTTCCCCTCCCTTTCTGGTTCCCACTATCAGTATTCATTAAGCATGGGCATCACCTCCTCCTAGAGGCCCTGCTTGTTTCCTCTCAAGTGAATACTCTTTTCTGACCCCATAGATGTGAGGTGCCTCCTGTTCTAGAATGCAGTCCCCTCTCTGTATTCTAAAAATATCTCTTCCCTCTTTCCCAACCATGGGAGCTGCTCACAGCTAGGACCAGTCTTGTTCATCACAATGTCCTCAGCATCCAGCCTGTCACATGGACCTGGGCTGGCCTCATCATTGTCATTATGGGAATTTTTGAGATTCGACAGGCAACACCAGTGTCTACCAGCTATATGACAATGGCAAATCAATTCTCTTTGAGTCTCAGTTTCTTAATCTATGAAATGGGTACAATAATCGCAACATCTCAGAGTTCTTCAAGGAGTCTTCTCTTATGTGTGAAATGTGCCAGAATGTGGAAAGTGTTGGGTGAGTGGTAGGTCCCTTTCCTTGTGTAGTCTCAGCTCTGAGCTTTGCAAATGCTGCTGTGAGCAATGAGCCCTTCAGGGACAGATGTCCTCTGATGATCCCTGGGCCAGGACCCCTATCCTGAGAGGTCTTTAGAGGTGTGAGGAAGTGACAGGCATGCCAGATCACTGAACTTGGAGCCACATAAATGAATTTGAGACATTCATAATTCACTAGCTGTGTGACTCAGGGCAAGTCTCTTTATGTCTCTGATCCTCAGCTTCTTGATCTAGAATGATGGCTAGTAATGCCTAAGACTCCAAATAATATGTGTGAAGATCCAAGTTCTCCTCTAGAAAGAGGAGCCACATCTCAGTGGTTACCTGGGATGTGGCTTGGGCACCTGCAGCTGAACTAATTGCTGAGACTCTGGACAGCTCTTTTTTGTTTTGCTTTATTTTTTGGTGATACTAGGGTTTAAACTCAGGGCTTTGTGCTTGCTAGGCAGGCACTCTACCACTTGAGCCACCATGTCTCTAGTATGTGTTGAGTATTTTCGAGATAGGGTCTCACTTTCATTTTGCTGGGAGCTGGCCTTGAGCCTGGATCCTCCTGATCTGTCTCTGGACAGTTTGTGACCCTCCAGGTGCCACTGTAAGTGACCAGCCAGCCCCCTTAGATCATCTATGAATTCTTCCAGGTGGAGACCAGCGAGCAGCTTGGGAACACCAAGGCCCACCCTTCAGCTCCACCTTGATCCCCGATAATTTGTTCATTTATTATTTCAAATGTTGCCCAGAGCCTGATACAAAATAGGGGCTCAATAAGAACATGTTGGAAGAATGAATTTATTCCATACAGGCAGCAAACATTACTGACCACCTAACTGTATGTTTGGCCCTGTGCTAAGGGATGGAGTAAAATGGCGTGCATAAAGCAACCAGTGCTGACAGCTCCCTCCCAGGCTCACCCCAGTTGCCTTTTCAGGTCCTCCCAGCTCTTCCTGCCATCAACACAGCTCGCACTGGCTGCCAGGCTCCAGGCACCAGGGCTTCTTCGCAGTATTGAGGTAGTGCCCAAGTCCCTCGTGAGCCCCGAGTCACAACTCCCCCAAATCCTCCCTGTCTTCCCTGCCGCCTTCCCTCCCTACCTCAAGCCCTCGGATGCTACCATCTCCCCCTCCCAATGCCCTACATCTGCCTGGGGTTTTGCCCAGAGCGGCCAGCAGGTGGCGCTAAGGCTCCCCTTTCCCCACTGCCGGACTAAAGGCCAGACCCACCAGGACCCTCTCCCTCCCTTCCTCCTCCGCGGGAACAAAAGTGGATTCTGTGACCTCTAACTGACCCCTTTCCTTCCTGCCGCTCCTGTGATGGAGAAGTGAGGAGGCTCCAGTTGCTCCTGCAGGCCCCCTAGTTGGGGAAGGGGGGAGGAAGCAGGGGGTCCCTAGGGGCCAAGCAGCAGCTGGTGGGGCGGGACCGGTAGGGCGGGGCAGGCAGGCAGCAGCTGCCAAGAGAGAAAGAGAGAGAAAAAGGAGAGGGAAGGTGTTCTGGCTCCCGGCTCCTATCTCAGGCAGGGTGAGGGCCTAGCTGAAGCTCAGTCCCAGGACAAGGTAGGTGGCTGAGGAAACAGATGGGGCTGAGGAGGTGGGGTGGGGGTGGGGCTGAGGAGGTGGGGTGGGGGTGGGGCTGGGGGTGGGGAACAGTCAGGCTGCAACAGTGGGGCAGGCTTGAGGGTACATTGGCAAGGTGGTAAGGTTCTGTAGCTCAGTGAGAACCCCGCCCAACCTCTCACTGCACCCATCCCAAAGGGACCAGGTAGAAACTTGGTGGCCAGGGAAGTAGTCCTGGGTGGGCATTAGGAGAGGGGAGTTGTTCCATTGCTGCTCTAGTCTCACTGTGTGACTTGGCACCAGGTGCTTCCATTTCTGTACCTCAGTTTCTTAATCTAAACCTGAGTGTGTGTGTGTGTGTGTGTGTGTGTGTGTGTAGGGGTGAAGACCTTCTGTGGGATGACAGCAAGGGGCCCTCTTTCAAAGAGCTAGCTCTTTCCCAGACTCTGGAAGACCTTTACAACAAAGGAGCCCCCCCCCCAATGGTGCAATTTTGGATAGTGGGGACAGGGTGCAAAGTGTCCTGGGAACCTGGTCCTTGCCTCTCTCCTCCACCTCATTTCTCTGGGACTTGAGTTAGAGCATGGAGAATGGATACAATGGGGAATGGGTGGCTTCGCTAGCTGCCTGGTGCCCCCAGGTCTTCTCATTAGGAAGAGGGTAGTGGGTGTCGGGTGAGGGCAGCTCTCTGCCCTAGGATCAGAAAAGGAATGGGTTGGACAGGAGGGTGTGTGAGGACACAGGTAGGCATTTGGATGTCCCCAAGGTAATGTGGCTGCCAGCCTCCACCCCTGCACTACTTACAGCCATTAGTTCAATCACTGCTCTCATACACAATGCCAGATCAAAATGGCTGTGGGATCCTAAGAGCTTCTCCCACCCCATCCTCTGGCCTACTGTTCTTGGAGAAAGATCGTTCCACATTGTTCTCTGGCAGGGAAGGTGCGGCCACAGGTAGATTCTAGAATCTCTGGGATCCTGAGTCACTCTGGGCGGGGGACAGTTTCTCCCTGAACAGTTTTGGGAATCAGAACCAGCTGGGTTCAAATCCTGACTGTAGTGGATCCCTGCAAGGTACCTGTCCAAGTCGCAGTCTCCACCTGCGTAAAAGGTGCTCAGTAAAGTGCGCCCTTATGGGGTTGCAGTGAGATTAAGCCCCACACGCAAGGAAGGCCCAGCACGGTAACTGCAACTTAGCAGGTGCTCCTGATGGAGGTGAAAACGGAGGTGCAAAGAAGGGAAAGGACTGCCCTGGGGTTGAGAACTAAACTCGCGTGAGTCACTTCTGGCCCCAACATACACATGGGCACCTGCTTATGCACCCTAGCTCCTTTTATGGTCACCCTCTGCCCACTCCTGTCCCAGCCAGCAAGGCCTGGGGTGTGGGGAGAAGTGAGAGGTGGGGACCCCAAGTCGCTTTGAGGCGGGGGCATAGATGAGCATCTCCGTGGCCCTCGTCCTCCCGGAGGAAAGGGCACGGATAGAGATGGGTCAGGGCCGGGGTTGGAGCTGACCGCGGTGGGAAGCTGCGGCTCCCGCACCTGCGAGAGGGTGGGAGCCACGAGTCCGCGAAGCCCCTTGGTGCCTGGCCGCGGACGGAATGGGATCCACGGCAGGAGTCGGGGCGCTATCCGCCCCTCACCCCGCCCCCGCGCATCTCCCCGCAGCGGGGGCGCCCCGCCCCCCGGGCGCCCGACGTGGACGCCGCCGCCGCCGCCGCCGCCGCCGCCGCGCGGGAGTCGCTGTCCGCGGAGTCGATATGCAGGCGGCGCGGGGCGGCGCGGGGCGGCCGGGCCGGGCGGGCCGCGGGCCGGAGCGCGAGAGCGAGCGGCCGCTGAGCGCCGGAACCGTGTCCCCCTGCGCCGCCCCGGGCCCGCCGACTGGAGGAGCCGCCATGCACCCCGGGCCACCGTGTCCCTGGCCGCCCTGCGCCGCGCTCCGCCTGTGGCTGGGCTGCGTCTGCTTCGCGCTGGTGCAGGCGGGTAAGGGGGCCCGGGCGGGGGGGCCAGGGGGCCGGGCACCAGGGCAGCCTCCTTTCCCGCCCTGCCACCTGAGAGTCCTTGGTTCCCTTCCTGCTTCCTAAGGCCCTCCTGTCTCACCTGCTTACTGCTCCCCTAACCCGACCCCAGTACTCCGTACCTTCTTGACCCCTAGACCCGTCCTTCAGCCTCTGAACCCCTTCCTATCACCTTGGCCCCGGGTTTTTAGGGTCTTGTGACCCCTGATCGCTTAATCCAATCCCCTTTAACCCCAAGTCTTTGCCTTAGCTTCCCTAGCTTCCTTTTCTGGCCCAAGGAGCAGATGAGGACACCAGTCTCCCCACCTTTGGGCCTCTCTCCCTGTCCCCAAAGACCTCTCAAAGCCCCACAGGCAACTGCACATGGATGTGCAGGAGCAGTGTGAAGGGGATAGAGACTGGTATCTGAGGGTACAGGGTAATGGTGGGCCCCCCCAGCCTGGTGCAGTGTCTGGCCCACCCAGGGGCCCCAACCTTTCCTGATGCCCTATGCCTTCCTCATCTCTGCCTCTACTCATCTACCTGTCTGTGTGCTCTCACCCTGGCTTTTTTTTTTTTTTTTTTTTTTTTGGCAATACTGGGGCTTGAACTCAAGGCCTACACCTTGAGCCACTCCACCAGCCCTTTTTTGTGATGGGTTTTTTCGAGATAGGGTCTCATGAACTATTTGCCCAGGTTGGCTTTGAAACTCAATCTTCCTGATCTCTGCCTCCTGAGTAGCTAGGATTATAGGCATGAGCCACCAGCACCTGGCCTTTTCTGCTTTTGTCTCTAACCCTCCACTTATCTGCTCTTTAGGTCTGTCTGCAGCCACCTGTCTGTGTCCTTCAGTCCCTTTTTATCTCCATGTCTGGCTCAACCCCTGGGCCTCAAGTCTGTGGGGTGCCGCGTTACTACTCAGGCCCTGGTCTTCTTTTTGCAGCACCGGCCCACTGGGAGACCCAGAGGTCTTTGTGATTCCACTCCCCTCTCCTGGGAGGGTCCAAGCTTTCCCAGTGGCTCTGATCCCCAATCCATCCTCTTCCCCCACCCAGAAGGCCTTGCCCTGTCCACTTGACTCTCCACTGAGGGGCCCTGCTCTGAATAGCTCCCTCCCCTCCTGCCCCTTGGGGCTGGCAGACTGTAGAAAAGAGGCTCATGTAGACCTCTCCCCAAGCTGCATTCTGCCCAGCTCACCATAGTGCTGGGGATTTCCTCTGTTGCCCCTCACTCCCATCCCAGGGCTTACCCTTGCCTGGCTCTTTTCCACCTCTGGGTCATACTCCTTTCCTCAAGGTCACTCACTTGCCAGTGCCGGACTGTACAAAGAGCACTGGGTTGGGAGTCCTTTTGACTGATTCAGCTTCTGCAATCCCATTCACCTCCATACCTAATTACCCAGTAATCAGATCTGGCCCAGGCCCATCAGTTTTAGCCTTAGACCCCTGGCAGGGCCAGCCAATGGCTAGCAGAGGTTTCCATTATAGACATAGACACAAGGAACCTGGGGGCAGGAACTAAGAGTCATGTAGCACATTGGAGGCCATGGGTTCTTCCTTCCCAAGAGGCATAGCTTTCCCTGGGTTTCCCTTTCTCACTTATGAAACAGTGAGGCTGGGCCTCACAGCAGGGGACACTCAGGCTCAGGTGTCTCCTCACCCCACAGATAGCCCCTCGGCCCCTGTGAATGTCACTGTCAGGCACCTCAAGGCCAACTCTGCAGTGGTCAGCTGGGATGTCTTGGAGGATGAGGTTGTCATCGGATTTGCCATCTCTCAGCAGGTAACTAACTCTTGAAGGTCCTTGGGAGGGAAGGACCCGTTAAGATAGTTACAAAGAGGGGTGGAGGGTGGTAGTAGGTGCAAAAATAGGAGAAAGGAACACAGGGCAAGAAACAGGGGCAGCAAGTTGCACATTTGGCTTGAGCTAAAAGAGTCTCAGTCAAGAGGAGGGTCAGGAGCTCTCAGCTGGGGCAGGGGAATTCAGGTCAGAGCATGGGTCTAACCTCAACATACACAGATGTTTTAGATCTGGCTCCAGTTCTCATTAGTTGTGTGGAAGTTGTTGTTACAGCAACTTCCCTAACCTCTCTGAACTGGTTTACTCAGCTGTATGGAGATAGTGATACCCAAAGTGATGGGATGATTGTGCACATGTACAAGGGGTTTGCCATTGCTGGGAGATGCGCAACCGTGGGGTTGGTGCCTGGGTACTGACATGCCCTGCCCTTGCCTTTCCAGAAGAAGGATGTGAGGATGCTGCGCTTCATCCAGGAGGTGAACACCACCACCCGCTCGTGTGCCCTTTGGGACCTGGAGGAGGACACAGAGTACATCGTGCATGTGCAGGCCATCTCCATTCAGGGCCAGAGCCCAGCTAGCGAGCCCGTGCTCTTCAAGACCCCACGAGAGGCTGAGAAGATGGCCTCCAAAAACAAAGGCAGGCCCAGGGCATACTGGAGGAACAGGGTGGGGCAGTTGGGCCAGGAGAGTAGGTAGCATGAGGAAAGCCAAGCCAAGCAAAATAGCATGAAAAGGTTCACTTTTGAATTATTGAGTTTTATTGCTGCCACCCCAAGCATCAGTACATCCCCCCAGGACCTCTTTATGTCTGATACGTAGGCACCTATAGAGATAAGCATTTATTGTCAAGGACTTGGGCCTAGAGGAGTGGCTGGGGAGGCAAGATGCCCTGGACCATTGTCTCTTCCCCACAGATGAGGTTACCATGAAGGAGATGGGGAGGAATCAACAGTTGCGGACAGGCGAGGTGCTGATCATCGTTGTGGTCCTCTTCATGTGGGCAGGTGAGTCAGGCTTCCAAGCTCTTCTTCATTTACCCTTGGGAAACCAGAAATCCTGACCAGATTCCTTCTCTCCAAGTGACCCAGGGTAAGGGGCTTGGAGATATGAGACAAGAGGTGAAAAGTCTGAATCCTGCCTGGGACAGCTCTGGGTGCCAAATCTGATCCCTTCTCCAATCTACTCCACCTAACACATAGCATATTGCTAGCTGCCTTGTTTGATTATATGAGGTACTTGCCTTTCCCCTCTTAGACGTGGTTCAGCCTCCTGGGATGGACACATCCACAGGCCTCATACCTTCTGACTATGGCTTCAGCCTTCTCCTTCTGGGTTACTTGGGTCTCCAAAGGCTTCAGGCCTGGGCAGCTAAGGGGAAGTCACTGCCCGGCCTCAGGCTTGGAACTCTCTGCTCACCTACCCATCCTTCTAGATCCAGATCTAAGCCTACCCCATGGGCACTCCCCCATTCACCCATGGGAATGACCTTCCTGTCTCTGTGCAACACCAGCACACTGTTTGCTCCTTTTTAGCACTTATGTAAGTTAGTTGGGCTCATGGTGCTCTTTTCCATTATCTGTGAGCTACCTGAGGATAAAGTCCAAGTGTCATTCATCTCTACTCAACCAGCATTTATTGAACAGCCAGTCCATTCCAAACAGTAGTGTTACAGTCATGACTAAGAGCCCTGCACTTGCAAGGATCTGTCTTGGAGAAGCCAGGTCCAAGCTTAACTGCAATTCAATAAGATGAGCACTATAATGAGAGAGCAGAGGAGAGGAAATTAATTCTAGGGCTAGTATAAATCAAGGAAAATTCTTCATGGAGTGCTTGGGGGTGGGACTCAGTGGTAGAGTGCTCGCCTAGCGTGCATTAAGGCCTTGTATTCAAGTCACAGCACTGAAAAAAAAATACAGAGTGGATATAACATGGGGTTTGAGCTCTGAAGGATGAATAGGAACTCACCAGGTAGTCAAAGCTGAGGGATGTTCTGAGTATGGTACAAATTAAGCTTAGTCTGGCTCAGTGCAGCTGCAACCTGTGAGAGAAGGTGAAGTATAGGGGAGAAAAGGCCAGTGAGGCTGTGGACTGGACTCTTGACAGATTTGAACACCATGCTAAACCATTTGGCTGAAAGGAAGGCTCTGTTGAAGAACCATTTGGAAAAAAAAATATTCCTTAGGCACATAGAAAAATAAAGGTTTATACAAAAGAGGTTTGTATATGGCACATTATTAGGCTTGGCACAGACAATATCTACCTAACCATAATAATATAAACATAGAGAATTAACTCCAAATTGTAATTCTGTTAGGATGAAGTAGGGGAAAGTCAAGAGATATCTGAAATAGATTAAGAAATGACACTATAATGTAGAGGTAAAATGAGGAGCATGTCTAAAAGAATTGGAGCTGGCTGCCTTAACTTTTTGAGAGCTCTGACTCTCAAAAATATTATTAGCTAGATAAAACTAAGCCCTGGAGTTTACCTCCCAGCAGTACCACAGTGATCTCGAGTTAAGCTAGTTCAACTCTCACCACTGTCCTCACTTGTAACCCAGGACTGATAATAGGTACCCCCATCGAGTTGTGAGGATTGAGATCAAATATGTTAGTACACAGCACAGGACCTGGCACATGATCAACAAATGCTATTATTTTTTTTTGCTTTTCCCTAAATAAAAGGTAACTGTCATAGTTTAAAAGTTGGGGGGAAGAGATATAATCAGATGCATGCTTGCATGATGTGGGAGGATCAGCCCAGCAGCAGTGAAAGGGATGGCTGGTGAGGAGACAGGTGGAAACAGGAGCCAGAGGCAGGATGGAGGCTGCAGTAGTGTAGAGACCATCTGGAGAGACAGCCAGCAAGCTCTGGTAGGGATGAAGCACGCAAGGGACGAACTCAGGCCCTCACCTCTGTTTCTACTTTACCTCCCCAGGTGTGATCGCCCTCTTCTGCCGCCAGTATGACATTATCAAGGATAATGAGCCCAATAACAACAAAGAAAAAACAAAGAATGCATCAGAAACCAGCACACCAGAGCACCAGGGCGGGGGTCTCCTCCGCAGCAAGGTGAGGGCAAGACCTGGACTGGGTGGGTGGCCCTGTGCCTTGTCCCTGGACTGCAGAAGGGGTCAGCTTAGGGTCTGGCATGGCTGCAGCTGAGCAGAGCCAAGCTTGGCTGCTGCCTGTATGACACAGAACACTGCAAATTAATTTTGGATCCTCTCCTTTTACAGGATGCCAGGAGCCAGTGGTGGTCTAAAAAAAATAAAACAGCCAGTGGGAAGGGCAGAGGATTTGGTGTGGGACTGCAAGAGTAGGGGGTGTTTGGCTTATTTCTGCTCCTACTGTGCTATGTGCCTTGGGTAGGTACTTCACCTCTGTACCTTCATTTCCTCTTCTGTGAAACAGATATGAAACCTTTTCAGTGTTGTTCTGAGCAGCTCAGAAGAAAGCACAAAATGTGAGGATCTCATGGCTCTGCCGACGATTATCCAACAAACACCTGGCCCTCTCTGCATCTCCTTTTCCATCTTCTTATATCTTCTGGCTTATTGTCTTCTCTCTTGGCTTCTCACTTTCTGGTGCCTTTTCCCTTTGTGGCACCTTTTTCCAACCTCTTATTAACCCCCATCTCTAGAAGCACCTCAACAATGTCAGTGGCTGAGGCTGTACAGAAGCAGATCTGCAGGATGTGAGAGAAACAGCCAGAGGGATGACTGCTGGGGGCAACTGGGTACCAGGACTCTGGGCCCAGGACTCGGCTTGGGCATTCAGCTGAGCAAAGCTGAAGGCTGGGTGTGAAAAAGACATATACAAGACCTCCAGACAGCACTACTCTTTCTTCCATGAGGGACAAGAGCTTGGCTTTTAGGCTGCAGCCCTGCTGCTCCCTTCTTCCTCCTGTCCTGTTTCCCACCTTGCAAGAAGTCTATTCAATTAGCTTTGGCCGCTTCTCTCATTTTTTTCCTCTTAGTTTCCTAACAAGCCCTCAGTGAACATCATCGAAGCATGACTGCCTATCTGCAGGAAGAAGGATTTCATTTTTCTTCCCAGCTGGTCCCCGCGTCCTGGGCACAGGGAGAGGGCCAACTGCAACAAGTGAAGAAAGCACAGCTAGTCCCAGTTCTCCCCTTTCCCCCACAGTCTGGTGAAAGAGGCTGAACTACAACCCAAATTCTGCAAAAAATATACAAGCCACAAAACTAAAAGGCCTGGTCCCATTCTGGAAAAGGCAAAGCTGCATGAGACACAGCCTTCTGCCTCCTTGCTTCTCTTGGACTGGCTTCCTGAGAAAATGCACAAAGCTCCATAAGATGACAAGGCATCAAGACTGACTTGAGCTGTGTCTTTCAGACCAAGGAGCACCAGGGAAGCTGTAGGGCTGCCTGTGTTGCAGTCATGGCCCCATTAAGCCTTTTCTGGATCCAGCCATTCAAGGCCTTGTTTGTGGTATGAAGTACACCTTTGCAAGTATGTAATATGTTACCTGTTTTATCTCTTTTGGAAAACAAATAGGAGGGCCCCACTCTTGAGGGCAGAGGATTCAACCAAGACCTAGCTGGGCACCCACATCCTGCATCTTCTTTGACCCTTACTTGATGGTAAGATCATCAGTGTGGGGTCTTAAAGAGACCTAGAAGGTACTGCACATTTTTAAAGGAAGCATCTCTTGGGAGTTTCAGCAGTGCCAGCTTGGACAACTGAAAGGGCACATCCACATTTGGTATCCTGGGGCTGCTAAGCCACCTTCTGGAGTGGAAGCTGCTGGAAGGCAGGCCTGAGCCATTCACCACAGAAAGGCAAAGCAGCCTTACTGTCACTATTGGCCTCTGGGATCGTCATACCTTGCTATCTCATCCAGGGTTCTGAGTTATCCAGGGTCCTCATGTCCTTTCCTAGAGCCTAAGTGTTGTATGGTGACAGGTGTCTCTGCTGTTCCTTTCTGGTTAAAAAAAAAAAAAAATGGTGCTTGATGAGGAAAGGCACTCCGTGGGACTGACACTTTATGGCTGCCAAATGCCTGCATGGGAAGAGGCGGACTCTGCCATCTTCCTTTGGTGGCAAAGGAGGGGATTGTGGGAGGAATGACTAGCATGAGCCTGGCACACAGTAGGCACTCAGTAAATATTTGTTGCACTAAATAATAATAGCACTGGCCCCCAAGCCAGAGAGAGCTGAAAGCCATCACCCAATGACCGCCTCTTCCTTCCGGTCTATAAGAGCTCTCAAGGCTGGTCAGCCACCACTCTGCTTTGTCCACAAAGTGTGGCAGCACAGGAGGAGAGACAGGATAAAGGGCAGATGTCAGCAATACTAAGGGCTTCCTCAAGGGAGGGCATGAGGCTCCACTCATTGTCTTGTGACTTCCATCCCTGCTGAATGGGGCTGCAAGGCCAAGGCTCCTTAAGAGAGAGGTCCTTACCTCTGATCCAGTTAGAGCAATAACCACTTTTTAAATGTAAAATAAAAAGACAAATGAAAAGGCACATCCTTGTCTTCTGGTAAATGCCCAAATGTTGCCCTCTTTTTCTGGCAATTGGCAGCAAGTCAGGATGTGTGGAGGAGGGAATCAGTTCTCTGTTCCATTTTGGCCTGCAGCTTCTTAGGGACATGCCTGCCAGCCAAGCTGGAGTTGGAAGGGAATTCTCGAACAGATGGGGGGTGCACGTGTAGGAGAAAAAAATAGCTGCTTCATCATCCTCTTTCCTAGGCTCCCCCATGCCCAGTTTGGGCTGCCTCACTGTATAGGTATGCAGACTGGTGCTCAGTTTTTAAAAACAAAGGGTTTTCCCCTCTGGATTGGACTGGGTGCTTTCCCCTGCCAAAAGAATGCAATCCTTGTCTCCCTGGGGTAAGGAAGGAGTGAAGAATTGCAAAGGCTGCTTTCTGCAATTGAGTATTCACAATGTGCTGTTCTAGGCTGTTAAAGGAACATCATTAAGATCCCAACAGCAGGCTGAAAGGCAGAGTAATGATGCCATTAGCCAATGAGTGAACCAGTAAATGGGGCACCTCAAACATTCCTGTCCAGAACTAGGAAGAACTTGGAGACAAAATGTGAGAACAGAGGGAAGCAGGTCTTAGAAGCTGGGTGAAAAAGCAGGGAACAGAAGAGCACACAGAACTCTAAGCCAAACCTTAGAGGTACTTCTTAGGCTCTCTGGACTCATGTAGTGCCAAATGATGGAGAACCACCAAGTCAGTATTAGGGAAAAGGTACTCATCAGTGGGACTTGGGGAGCTCCTGTCCTCAACTTCATCTATGCATCGTAAAGGGTATGAAGGAAGAGAAGCAAACAACACTCCTAGCTTAAAGCTCCATTCCCTTTTATCACCTCCATAAAGGAAAGCAGAGAATAACCAGTTCCTGAATTAGCTGTATTTTCAAAGTCAAACCCTACAGCTATGACTTGGAATGTGGTCCCTTCACCACCTCTCACGTGGAACTGCAAACAATTCCTCACAACTTGAGAAGGCCACAGGCAGCTTTGAGACCAAGAGACCTTACCTGCAGACCACTACAGGCCTGTGGGAAGAATGCAAGACTGAGATACAAGAGACCCTACCTGGTAACCACCTACCACCTTGGACAAGTCACTTACCTGAGAGTGGACTTGTTTCCTTTTACCAAAAATGGGTTCAAAGCCAGAGTCCACATCTTAGAGGCAAAGAGTATCCTCTTAGAAATAAGAGGGAAGCCCCAGGTTCTAAGGGAAGGAAGAAAGACTGGTAGGTGTTTCCATGAGGTAGGAGTCCTTTCTCCTCCTACTCCTTACCTTTAACCCCTACCTTCTCAGAATGGGCCTCCTCTAGAATTCATTATTAGGATTTCTAATTCAACCCTTTATAGAAATGTGACATCTCAGTAGTCCATTTACTTGATGTTTTGGACATCTACTTTCTCACTCTCTTTAAGCCTATTTGACAATTTTTGGATTTTACTTTTAAGAAATAGCCTCTAAGAACAAATTGCTCTAAAAATGGGACACCATTGCCTCCCCCAGTTCTAGCCCCACTGATTAAAAAAAAGAGTAATTCCCAAATCTGCAGATGTTTGAAGCTAAGTTGGATATCTTTGTGTACAAATAGTTCTTTAGTGATACATGTCAGGACTATCACTTGGACTGCTTTAAAAGTTATCTACAAGATCACATTCCTCCTCCTCAGTGGATGCTGGGGGAGACAACATTTTCTGTTTATGGCACATTTCAGTTGTTATAGGGGTATGTGTGCAGAATAAGTGGGGAGGAATGACAAGGCAGGTGCTTGTTTATTAAGGAATTCCGACACTGACCAGCTGGCACTTCCTATGACAAATGGAAGTTTTATCCTGACAGGTGCATACCTCTGGCACATCCTGGAATCAGCTTAGGAATAATTCTGTTTTTTCTTAGTAAAGCAGGACAACATTAATAAAAACGGAGGACTGTTTTCTAGTTTTAGGTGGTTAGGTTTTCTCTTTGTATAAAAGCTCAAAATGGGTTTGCTGGAGAATAAGCCCATTCCTTGTAGAAAAGGTCCATTTCTTTTTCTCCTCACTTTTCCAATAACATGAAAAGAACTGAGGGTAAGAGACACAGCCATTTCAGAGAATTCAGCCTGGTCTCTGAAACCTTTGACACCTTTAGTAGCAATACATTGCTAAAAACGAAGTTATTAGATAAAGCATCATATACATGTGACAGGAAACACAGTGAATTTATATAGCTCAAGAGTACCAAATACCTTAGAACTTACCACATTTATATTGTGCCTTTTGCCTGGACTCAAAATATGTATTTTTTTGTCTAGAATATATACACTGGACAACTGGGGGTGGTGACTCACACCTGTAAACCCAACACTTGGGAAGTGGAAGCCTAAGGACTCTGAGTTTGAGGCTAGCCAGTGGTGTGTAGTAAGACCCTGTTTCTAAAAAGAGAGAGAGGAAAAAAAAAAAAACCAAAAAACTTTTACAGAATAGGCCAGTGAGTCTATCTAAGTATGTTGTTACCTATTTTCTCAGCATGAGTTGGGGTTTTAAAAGCATTGGATAATCTAGGTGACAAGCTATTATTGCCTGACTTTTTATTCTTGCTCCTGGGGGTTAGTCTAAGAAGCTTAGGTTCACAAAAGAGATCTAAGGAGCGTTCTCTCTTCCATATCTGCTCACATTCATCTAACCTTCACCCCATATTCTGACAGCATCAGTTTCTGGAGAAGTTGGGTTAAGAACAATTATCATTTTTAAACTATTAATTCTGGTTTCTCACATTCTCAAAGAGAGAATGTCCTGGAATAGAATGGCTTTTTTCCTTAATTAGTGCTAGCTCTGGAAAAGCAGACACAGTGATCAACCACACAGCCATGAAAGGAATGCAAGGCACTGCCTGATAAGGGCTGAGCCATTTCCCCCCCTTTGCAAAAACAGCAGCACAGTGATATGTCAGGCTTTCCCCATGTCAGGCTCCTGACATGCACCATATTGTAGCTGCAAATCCCAATGAATTTCAACATTTCTTAACTGCTGGAATGCTTTTCTCAACACTGTAATTTACCCTCAAAAGAATAGGGAGCAAGCACTCTCGCCTTCCCAGAACCATATTCTACTAAATGCCACCCCACTCCCATATCCCACTAATCTATCTACACAAAGGAGGAAGGCAAATAACCCTCCTCCAAAGCCCGCAACAGACGGTCACAGTACATATGCCACTGACAAGAACTTTTATTTCTTTTTAATGACATTAAACACAACTGCTACAAGGGAAAAACATGATAAAGAGGCACCAAACTTCAGTTTCATAATTGATCCTGACAACAACGCAAGTAAATCAGAGCCTGTATTAGATGCAAAACTACAGGTTATTTCAGGCTCATTATAAGTAAACTAAACAGCACATTTTTACTCTGCTTTGTCAAGACCCCTGTGGTGAGAATGTCATCATGGTTGAAGAAATCTAAGTAGGCAGTTAAATACACATAACCCTTACTCAAATTTAAAAATACAGCAAGAATTACACCTGAAATACTAGACTTAGAGGCCAACACCAAATGTAAAATATACACAGCTTTGAAAAAGGATTAAAATTCCAGATTCTATCCATTACCATCTTTAAGGCGAACATGCCAGATAATGAGTTTTCTTTGGCTTTTTCTTCTTAAAGAATACCATGTTAACCACTAGAGAACAGCTCTCTCCTCCCCCAGTCCAACAGATTTAATTAAGCTGCTAAAGCTTTGGAAAAACAGAATTACTTGAGCTAAGAGGAAATGTGATTGTCACATTTTCTAGTTAACCTGTCACTCATTTGATTTGGCAAAGGCAATTCTCTCATTACACATTCAATCTTAAGCCCTCTTGTACCAGCAGGGCAAAAACATCTCAGATTTTTGTCTAAGCAAAATGCTGTCCTTTTATTCCTTGAGTTATGTGTGACAGCTGCAATGCATTTAATTTTAACTATGCTTTGGTTCTAAAGCATGTTTGGCATGTTTCATTCCATCAGGCTAATTTAGAGCAGTTTGGAGAAGTGACCAATGATATAAATGCCAATTATGCTAACTGAGATAAATTCTGACTACATATTTGAATGGAATTTCTCCATTTAATTCCAGTTCCAGAATCTAAAACAAATGTCTAAGGAAAAGAGAATCCTTCACTAGATAAAAACAGTAAACATTTAGGAACATCTATCCAAATTTATTGGAGGGTTGAATGACCAAGCTTTTCCCAAGTCAGTTTCTAAACTGGGGTAGGATGTTTAAGACGGGTTACTCACATACAAAGATGGAGCTGATGAAACAAAACCAGACAGAGGTTACAGCGACTATGAACAACTTTCATAGACAAATAGCAGTGTGAATGCCAGTCTGTAAAACCTTCCAAAAACGTTTAGAGATGTCTATAAAGAAAGAATAACAAACTCCTAAGACATCCATTAAGAAAGATGCACAAAATCTATCAAGTTTGGTTAGAATTCCAAACCTTAAGATCAAATAATGCTTTTATGCACAGGCTCAATCAATTCTGTTAGACCCACTTGAGCAGTTACATGAAACCACGTATTAGGGGCCTGCTGGAATGAGATAGTAACATCTACATCTAGGGTCTAAAAGTACCTGTTAATCAACAATGGAGACTAATGAGTACCTTTCCAAAAGGCTCCCATGGGAAGGAGGTTCTTTGACTAACACACATACTTAAAGTTGGGGTTTAGAAGATGAACACTTCAATAGCACTGGCTGTCATCTAGTCAAGACTAGTGGGCAACTCTTCAATAAGGAGAGGAGGCAAGTCTAACATGATACAGAAATACTGTTTGTAGAACCCTACGTAGAATTGTTACTGGGAATCAAACAAAAAAAGGAAAATCCTTGAAGAACGGCAGAAAAGACAGTCACAATACCACAATGGGGGTTAGTCATCAGTCTTCTGTTAGTTAAGATGTATAAGATCTGTAAACAGTATATGGAAAATAAATTGAACAGAGAATGAAAAAGGCCAATAATAATAATAATAGTAATAGCAACTAATAGGTATAGAAAGGAGAGGCATTTATATTTTTAATTTATCCTTTCAACAGGGTATTTCTCCTTTTCTACTCTACTTCAAATGACCTGACTGCCAACTTTAAAATACTGACAGGTATTCAGAGATTCAGATTTTAAAAGTGGGGTTGGTAAAAGTCACTTATATCTGTTCACAAGTCATCAGCAATAATTAACTCTGGTGCGTAGCCTGGTAAAGAATCTCTTCCTTACAGTAGATTAAAAGATGACTTCTTTTGGGCACCAGAAGTAGGCTTTCTCTGCACAGAGGTGAGTGTTTTGTTGAACCTGGGTATTTTGGCTTAATGCTGGCCTTCAGGAAGCAGCTACCTTCAATTTAAATAAGAAATTTAAAAAAAAAATTGTATCAACTTAACACTGCTTAAATACACATAGACAAACACAAAGTCAGAAGGGTCTTTATATAAAAAAAAATTCAAGTCAGCAATGGGCATTTCTAAAAGGTGACAAGTTCTTTAAATAAAAATCTTACGAAAAATAAATTTCAAAATATACAAAGCACGAAACAGCAGAAGAAAATGAGATGCTTCTCTGGACACAACCCTGGATAGGGACCTTCAATGCTGATGAGATGAGACACATGGACTATATGAGAAATCTGGGAGACGTTGGAACCGATGGTGGCTTCGCTTGTTCCTGTCAACCCACTGAGTCAGACTGTATCTTTGCAGAGGTTTCTGTCGGAACCGTGCATAATTTCTATCGAAAGAGGGAGAATAAAAACAGGAGATATTTCAGGTGGAATGACCATTTATACACAAAAAAGGTCAGCACAACTATTTTAAGAATACCTTTATTTCTAGAAATCAGATAGTAATTTTATATTTGACTATCACAAATGCAGAAGTTTTTATACTATTTTAATTATATGAAAGCCATGTGTATCGTAAGTGCTATTTCCTTCCAACTCTCAGAACCACCTCATTCCCATATAGGTATTATCATGGTATTTGCCACATAAATACAATGTTCTAAGGAAAACTAGTACATAATAATGTTTAAAAGTTGTATATGTGGCTGGGTTTACAGGCATGCACTACTACCCAGCTCCCAATTGGAAAGGTAGCACTTGGAAAGTGGAGGCAGGAGGATTTTGAGTTCAAGGCCAGCCTGGACTACATATTGAGACCCTGTCTCAAAAAAAAAAAAAAATTTGTGGGCTAGGGACATGGCTTAAGTGGTAGAGAGCCTACCTAGCAAATGTGGAAACCCAATGCCAAAAAAAAAAAAAAGTTTTAGTAGAAAAAATGAAAAATAATTTTCTCCCTTCAGTAGCATTTACAGCAGGATCTGTACTTCATTGCTTGCATCAGACCTGTACCTCCAATAGGAGGTACTGCCTCACAGCTCAAGACACACAGTTAAAATTAGAATAAAATTCCCAGAAAAAGTTAAGTCATCATGTGAGTATCACAATGCAAGTTTAGAGACTAAATAATAGCACAGATTCAAAGTAAAGTTTGAAAGCCACAAAGCTAAGCCAGGATCTCAAGTTTGAGGCCAGCTTGTGCTAGATAGTGAAACACTATCTCAAAAACAAAAAAACAAAACAAAAAACTGAATGCATGCTCAAGTGGTAGAGCCCTAAGTTCAAACTCTAGTTATCACACCCCCAAAAAAAATTAAATGAAAAATTAAAAATAAAGGTAAATTATTGGTTCCTTCTTCCCCCAGATTTAATGACTCAAAATCCTTGGAGTCAGGGCCTAGGCATTTGTATTTACAGAAATATCCACAGGTAGTTATGAGGAGTAGCCAAGGTTGAAAGTAATCGATCGTAACAGTACCTGACATCAATCACTATATGCAAGTACTTGTTGAATTCTTTAAACACCTCATCTAATTTAATGCTAGTGAAACCCTATTAGGAAGTACTCTCATCAACTTTTCTTTGCACAAGGAAAACATGCCTAGGTTAAATAAGTTGCCCGAGTAGAATATAGTAGAATAAAGAGAAAAGTCTGGAACTGAATTCATATCTGACTCCAAATTTATATAATGACAATAACTGCATATTGGCTTTTTTTTTTTTTTTTATGAAGTGGTTGGGGATTAAACCCAGGACTTCGCACATGCTAGGAAAGGTTCTACCACCAAGAGCTGGTGGCTCACACCTGTAATCCTAGCTACTCAGGAGAGAGAAATCAGTAGGATCACAGTTCAAAGCCAGCCTGGGCAAATTGTTCGCAAGATCCTGTCTTAAAAAACCCAACACAAAAAAAAGGCTGGAGGAGTGGCTCAAGGTACAGGCCCTGAGTTCAAACTCCAGTGCCCCCCCAAAAAAAAAAAAAAAAAAAAAGCTCTACCATTGAGCTACACCTCTAGCCCTATCCTGCCATTCTGAGAAGTACTATGATTTTCATGTTCAAAAAACAGCAAGCAGTGGAGCATAGTGGTACATGCCTGTAATCCCAGCATTTGGTAGGGTGAGGGAGAAGAATTGAGAGCTCAAGGCCAATGAAAACTACAGAGTGAGACCCTGTCTCAAAATAAAACAGCAAGGAAGCCAGTGAAACCAGACCCAGTGAACAACAGAAAAAGTAGTAAGAAAGGAGACTGATGAGCCTAAGTCAAAGCATACAGGCCTTTGTAAGGAACTGTGAGAATGGGAAGATAGATGATAAGAAGCCACTAAAAAACACTGAGCAAAGAAGAGAATCTGACTTAGGCTTTAGAAGAATCTCTGGCTACTGAGGAAAGAATAGTAGACAAGCAACAGCAGAAGCAAGGCAAACACTTAGGAGACTTACAATAATCCAGGTGAAATGATGAGAAGTGGTCAGGTTTTGGATATATATGTAGAGCCTATAGGTTTTGCTGATGGACTAAACATGGGATACGAGAGAAAGGAGTCAAAGATGACTACAAGGTTTTTGAATAACTGAATCAATTTGTAAAGCTGCACTGAATCAAGAATCTAGATTTTAGAATTACAAAGCTCTTTTGACATGAATTATTCCAATATCATTTTACTGATGTGGTGACTGGAGAAGTAAAGTGACCTGATCATGCCTGGTTACACACTGTAACGTCAGTATTAGAATTCAAGTTTCCTGAATTTCAGTTTGGTTCTTATTCCATTCTACTGCAATATTTCATTTCCCACCTCTAATTAAACAAGTTGTAACCCCTAACTGCCCACCAACTTTCCTCCTGAAGTCAAATTCTATCCTTTTCATCCCTCTTCAAACCACCCGCTCACCGTGTGGTGAGATCCGAAGGATGCTGCCAGTCTGGATTCTGCATGTGAACTTGATCCATCAGGGTATCTAGTTCCCCTGAAGTACCTGTTATACAGAGAGATCAGTGGTTAGAAAGCAGTTGAGTAAACTATTGTGTCACCCTAGAGCAAAGCATATGCTTTCAGAGATATGGAAAATAGACACTGGTCCCAATGATATCTACTGATTATCACAAGCAGTCAGCACAATAACTACAAGTCAGAGTGAGGATGATCATGCTGAAGCAGTAATGGCATCTACTATTCATTCAACATTAGCTATTACAATGGATGTAAAATTTGGTCCCTAGGAATATGGCAGCGAACAAAACACTGTACTTATCCTCAATTAAATTTAATACAGGAGACAGGTGATTCCAAAATGTGTTCAGTGCCATGTTAGGAGAAATACAGGTGCTAGTGAGATTCAGATTTTGGAATTAAGGAAAGCTCCTTTCATAGGAAGTAAACTGTAAGCAGGGATCTAATAGCTGTATAGAAATTAGTGAGGCTAGTCAGGTAGTCGGCTCATGCCTATAATCCTAGCCAGATGAGAGGCTGAGATTAGGAGGATTATAGTTCACGTAGAGCCCAGGCAAATAGTTTGTAAGACCCCCATCTCCAAAATAACCAGAGCAAAACAGACTGGAGGTGTAGCTTAAGTGGTAGAGCTCCTGCTTTGTGAGCATCTGCTTTCCAAGTGCAAAGTCATGAGTTCAAACACCAGTCCCACACAAAAAAAGAAGAAAGTGAGGCAAAGAGGTGTAGGAGGTTGGGCATCCAAGAGATACTTTGTATTAACTATAATACAAAGACCCAGAGACAAATGATAGCAAAATACACTCAAGAAGCAGGAGTTTGGACAGATGGAGGTGGGCACTCTTTACTAACAAGAAAAATTGCTAGGGACAATTTCTGAAAAACCTGGGAGCCAAACAATGCATTAGATTAGGAACTTCAGATGTTCTTATTCTTACTTAATTCTAAAAACAATCTTATATGGAGATAGATGTTATTAACATTTCAGAGATAGGAAACTGTGGCTCAGAGAACTGAACTTTAGCCTTAAATGCTTAATAACCCAGAATTCAATTAGATCTTGTGTTCCTGCCACTATGTGATAATACTAACTTACATTTAAGAGCTAACTTAAGCTAAAACTCCACAGAAGCAAACAAAACACTAGTTAGGAAACAATTTCTCTAGACCAGTGGTTCTCATACTTTAATATGCACCATAATCAGCTAGATAGATTATAAAATAGATTGATGGTTCCCATTCCAGATAATTATGTAGGTTGGAGTGGGGTCTGAGAATTTAAATTTCTAACACATTCTTAGTGATACTGATGCTGCTGGTCTGAGAACCATGCTTTGAAAACCACCACCCTAAGGCAGGCACCAGTGGCTCTCGCCTGTAATCTTAGCTACTTAAGAGGCTGAGATCCGGATGATCACAGTTGAAGGCCATCCTGGGCAAACAGTTCTCGAGACCCCATCTCCAAAATAACCAGAATAGGCTGGGTGCTGGTGGCTCACGCCTGTAATCTTAGCTACTCAGGAGGCAGAGATCAGGAGAATTAAGGTTTGAAGCCAACCTGGGCAAATTGTTCATGAAACCCTATCTCAAAAATAACACAAAGTCTGGCAGAATAGTTCAAGTGGTAAAGCAACTGCCTAGCAACTGTGAGGCCCTGAGTTCAAACCCCAGTACTGCAAAGATAAATAAATAATCAGAGCAAAATGGACTGGAGGTGTGGCTCAAACGATAAGAGTACCTGCTTCACAAGTGCAAAGCCCCAAGTTTGAACCTCAGTCCCACCAAACAAAAAAATCCACTACTGCCTTAGACACTGGTGACCTTTCTTTCAACTAGTTAACCTGTTTTTCAGTGCCTTCTCTACTGAGCTTTCAGGAATCTAACTAGGCTATAGAACATCTCCTCAGGTTCTAGTAAAGACAACCTTTAGGACCAATTTATTTGAAATCTCGTGAAGTAAAGCTTTGTAGAAAAAGTGTCCACTTTGGAGTTAAGAAGACTTGAGTTAAATTTCCAATCTAGCCACTATCTAGCTCTGTGACACTTAAATCATTTTACTTCTTGAATATCACTGTACTCATCAATGAAAAATAGACACTAATACTATTTAGCTTGAAGTTAAAGACTGAGGCTACTGTACATAAAAGACCTAGGACACCACCTGGCACACAGCAGATGTGCAGCGAGTGGTAGCCAACATACTGGTGTTATAGCCTCAGGACCATTTTACTTGCAAAGACTGTAAAATCCTTTGATTCAATCACCTTTTATATGTAGGGAAAAATGTTTATTTAATGTATCTATCTACACATAAACTGTGACATATTTTAGAACACTCAAGACTTTTCTAACCATAAAATATTTTTTCAGGAAAAATGTATAGATTGATAACACTATAATTAAAGCTTTCTGTGTAACAACTTATATATTACATAGTACCCCACTAATATATACAACTTTTTTCTTATATGTCAAAAAAGAAATTTTGTGCTGGGTGTGGTGGTACACACCTGTAATCCCAGCACATAAGAGACTGAGAATCACAAGTCTGATGTCAGCCTAAGCTGAAGAAAATAAAGGAAAAAGCATAACCAATGAGAAATAATTGAAAAAAATGAAAAATATAATTGGACAAAACCTTAATGTCTTTTTCTACAAAAATAAGTCTTCATTAAAAAAAAAAGAAGTCAAAAACATGAGTAGATAATTCACAAAAGTCATAAATGATCAATAAACAGTGAAAAGAATGTTCATTTTACTCGTGTGGAAAGAAAACATATTACTCATATTCCTCATGGAGAAAATATAAACCTGGGGCCAGAGGCATGACTCAAGTGATAGAGCACTTGCCTAGGAAGCACAAGGTCTGAATTCAACCCACAGTGGTGGGGAAAGGGGGGGAGGGTAAACGAAAATACGAATCTGAAGTGCGCTTCCTTTTATTTTGGAGGGTGAAACAGGGTCCCATGACATAGCGCAGTCCAGGGATCTTCCTGTCAGCCTCACAGCTGGCTGGGAAATAAGTTTTCTGGTGGGACTGAGGGTTAAACTCAGGTCCTCAAGTTTGCTATGCAGGTGTTCTACCACTTAAGTCGTCAGTCCTTTTTGCATAGATTATTTTTGAGATATGGTCTCACTTTATGTCTAAGATGGACTGAACCTCATATATGTGGAATGACAGGTGCATACCACTGTACCCAGCCATTGGTTGAGATGGATGCTTTTGATTAGAAAATGCCTTGAGCTGTGGGCCATGACTATAGTTCAAGCTTCTGGGGAGGGTAAAGTAGGATGATCACTTGAGCCTAGGAGTTCCAGGCCAGCCTGGGCAACATAGCAAATACCCTCTCTCTTAAAAAATAAACTAAAACACTCTTTGCCTGGTGGATTTAAGCTAAATCAAAGGTTGCCTTTCCTATCCCCTACTTTCACATGTCTATCAACCTACTCCCTCCTCTATCTTCCTGTCAAAGCATCACCAAAGAAGGGCTGGCAAAAGATGGAAATTCTGTGTCCATCAAAATGGAACCACAAGCAGCTCATGCCTGTATTCCTAGCTACTCAAGCAGCAGAGATCAGGAGGATCACAGTTCAAAACCAGCCAGGCAAGTAGTTCTCGAAATCCCATCTCAAAAATACCAAACACAAAAAAGGGTTGGTAGAGTGGCTCAGTGGTAGAATGCCTGCCTAGCAAGCATGAGACCCTGAGTTTAAATCCTAGTACCATCAAAAAAAGAAAAAATGGAACCACAAGATTACCTGTAGATCATGTCCTTCAACTCACTCATCTCTTACCACTCGGATTCTACAAAATTGTCTGCAATGGAAACTAAAGATATACTATAAACTTCCTATAAAGAAATCTATTCACTTTAGGCCAGACACAGTGGTTCAAGCCTGTAATTTCAGCTACTCAGGAGGCAGAGTTCAGGAGGCCAGCCTAGGCAAAAAGTTCAAGAGACCTTCATCTCAATCAATAAAAGCTGGGCATGGTTGTATATGCCTGTCATCCCAGCTATAGGAAACATAAAATAGAAGGATTGTGGTCCAGACAAGCCCAGGCATAAATGCCAAACCCTATCCCAAAATAACTAAAGCAAAAAGGGCTGGGGTATGGTTACGGTGGTAAAGAGTACCAAACATGAAGCCGTGAGTTCAGCCCAGGGCTGAAAAAAAAAAAATCTATTCACTTTAAACAAAGAATGGCCAATTTGGCCAAGGAGCCTAATATTTAAATATTCAACTGCTAGGAATTGAAAACAAGCAGCAGCAATTTACATATTACTTAACCATTTATCAGGTACTTTCCTATGTGCTTTAACCCTATCAACTTGTATTTTCTTGTTTTCTGGCAGTTCCTGGGTTTGAACTCAGGGCCTCATGCTTGCTAAGCAGGCACTTTACCACTTGAGCTACCACACTAGCCAACTCATTTATTTTTTACAAAAATCTTAAAAGGTCTATAAGGTATTTCCCCCATTTTACAAACTTTTTTTTTTTTTTTTGGTGGGACTGGGGTTTGAATCAAGGGCTTCATGGTTGCAAAGTAGGCACTCTATCACTTGAGCCACACCTTTAGTCTGTTTTGCTCTGGTTATTTTGGAAATGGGGGTCTTGTGAATTATTTGCCTGAGCTGGCCTCAAACCTCGATCCTCCAGATCTCAGTCTCCCAAGTAACTAGGACTGCAGGCATAAGCCACCCACACCCAGCCAAATAAACTTTAAAACTACTAAAAAAACAGGCTGGTTGTGGTGGCCCATACCTATAATCCCAGCACTGGGAAGGCTGAGGGAGAAGGGTTGCGAGTTTGAGGCCAGTCTGGGTTACACAGCAAGTTACAGGTCAGCAAGACTCTATCTCAAAACACAAAACAAAAATAAAAAATTAAGGCACAGAAAGGTTAAATAATTTGCACAAGGTCACACAGCTAAAATTTTAATATTATCATAGTTTCCTTAAAATATTTTCTGGTAGATGAGAAAGCAACTATCATATTATAGTATGTCTCTCATATACTCAGTAGCTT